AAAAATGATGCCAGAGATCATATAACAGAGTTTTGCAACACTGATGACTTATTCATTGTAAATATCTTTCATTAACCACACAAATAGTGACTATATATGTTGACCTTGCTAGATGGAATAGATAGGAATCAAATCAACTACATCTCTGTGAATAGTTAGAACAAAGCCAGGGGCCAACTGTGGAAGCAAGCAATCAACTGCTTACATGCAAGTTTTGAGTTGAAGCTGAAGAACAGTAAAACAAGTCAACAAGAGCCAAAATACAACCTTGAGTATATCCTACTTCATTTAGAGACCATCTGAAGAATAGATTTGACACAGTGATCAATGACAGAAGACCAGAGAAGTTATGGGATGATATTAAGGATGTTGTTGTTGTTTGCCGTCGAGTTGGCCCTGACTCATAGCAACCCCTCCTTGGGTTTCCGAGGCAGTATCATTATGGAGTGGGATTGCCCAACCTTCCTTCCGAGGAGTGGCTGGTGGGTTTGAACCGCCAGCCTTCTGGTGAGCAGTTAAGTGCCTTAGACACTATGCTACCAGAGCTCCTGATATTAAGGATATCATACTTAAAGTAAGTCAAAGGTCATTAACACAGGAAAGGAAGAAAAGATCAAAATGTATGTCAGAAGAGACTCTGTAACTTGATCTGAAATGCAGAATAACTAAAGGGAAGGTAAGAAATGATGAAATAAAACAGCTGAACAGAAGATTTCAAAGGGAGGAGAGAGAAAACAAAGTAAGGCTCTATAATAAAATGTGTGAAGACCTGGAGTTAGAAAATCCACACTCAGCATTTCTGAAGGTGAAGGAATGGAAGAAAAAAATTAAGCCTCAAGTTGCAATATTGAAGGATTCTGTGGTTAAAATATTGAATGATGCAGGAAGCATCAAAAGAAGAAGGAAGGAATCCAGAGTCACTGTACCAAAAAGAAATGGTTGACATTCATCTATTTCAGGAGGTAGTGTATGATCAATAACAAATTATATTGAAGTCCAGCTGCACTGAAGGACTTGGCAACATACAAGTTTGTAAGAATATATGGAATATCCACTGACATGTTTCATGTTTCAACAAATGGATGCAGCAGTGGAGGTGCTCACTTGTTTATGCCAAGAAATTTGGATAACAGCTACCTGGCCATCAGACAGGAAGAAATCCATATTTGTGTCCATTTCAAAGAAAGGTGATCCAGCAGCATGCAGAAATTATCAAAACATAGCTGTGGCAGTTGAAGCTGTGTGTCAACTTGGGTGGGCAATGCTTTTGAGTGGCTGGGCAGTTGGATTTAGTTATACTTCATTTTGAGATTTTAATCACCTCCATGTTGGAATCTGCTGTGAACAACTAAGTAGTTGCCTTTGGGGTGTGGTTTGCTTCCAGTATATAAGGAGAAGCTTTGAAAAAGATCTCAAGGGTTTTTGGCACATCTGGATCCTGTATTTGGCAGTGTCACCCATGACTTGCCATGTTGCCTACCAATTTTGGAACTGTTCCTAGAGTTGAACTAGTGGTCTACGGTGCTGCTTGCAAATCTTTAGACTGTGCCATTACCTGCTGACCTTGGGTGTGTCAACCTCAGCATACAGTAGGTGTCTGAGTTAGGAGATGCCTGTAGCTCCAGTGGGCCTGGAATAAGAGGTAAAGCTGAAGCCCAAGGTTGAGGGGTCTTCACACAGCCCCTATAGCTAACCCTCTGAATTTGGATTTATAGCCTCCCACCAGCCACACCTTGGAAGGAAGATTGGGCAATCTACTTCTGTAGAGATAGTGCCTCGGAAACCCAAGGGAGGGTCACTATGACCTGACTCGACAAGCACAAGAAGACTGGAAACTCAAAGAGCCATTACTTTTAACCAGCAGATCAGAAGCTGAAGGTATGGTGTGTCACAAATGGGCTTCCTTACATCGAAACCAACATTAAGAGGTTAGCTGTCACAGAGATGACTCTGCCTCATACTGATGTTATTATGTATGACAGAACAAAATGTTTGTTGCCAGGTAGTGTGGTATCATCATGATTGCTCATATGTTTGAGTTCATTGTTTTGGCTATTGTGTCAATCCATCTCATAGTGGTTTTCCTTCATTTTCACTATCCTTCTACCAACCATAATATCTTCTTCTAGGGATTGGTCTTTCTTGATGACACGTCCAAAATAAGCAAGCCAAAGTCTTGCCATTGTAATGGGTATTCTGGTTTATTTCTTTGAAGATCAATTTGTTCATTCTTCTGGCAGTGCATGTTTTATTAAATATTCTTTGCCAACATCATGGTTCAAATGAATTAATTTTTCTTCATTCTTCCTTTTTCATCATCCAGCTTTCATTCATATAGGAGGCAACTGAAAAGATCATAGCTTGGGTCAGGCATACCTTAGTCATCAAATACTGTCTCTGTAATTTAATTCATGTAAGAAAAACATCATCACCATGCTCCCTGAAAGCATGTAGAAGACACTATATCCTGTTTATCATGCCTAAAGTAGCTTTTACAAACTCCGTACTGTAGATCCTGTTTTTTCATTTATAATACACACTTATTATAATTCAGAAATGTGATTACTTATTGCCATTTTTTTTTAATTCCACATGGATGTAAATAGATGAGGGCAGGGATCACATCTTAATTTTTTCACAATCCAATACCCAGAATTTAGCACCATACTTTTAGAACAAAATATCATATTAAGCCAATAATAGAAATTGATTGAAATTTATTTAAGATGCAATTTGCAAATAAAGGTAACATTCCTCTATTCTTGTTGGTGTTATGTGACGTGGAGTCAGACCCGACTCCTAGTGACCCCTCCTTGGGTTTCCGAGGCAGTATCACTATGGAAGTAGACTGCCCAACCTTCCTTCTGAGGAGAGGCTGGTGGGTTTGAACCGCCAGCCTTCTGGTTAGCAGTCAAGTGCCTTAGGCACTGTGGTAACAGAGCTCCCTACATTCTTCTATAGGCTGTGGAAATCTGGATTCCAGAACCAAAACTGTTTTTCAGTACTAAGCAAAGAGTAGGAACTTTAAACGATTTGTAAAGAGAATTAACATACACAGAACTCACAGATAATACTCATGATTATGAAGTTTTATTAGGAAAGTAACAGGCTACAATTGCAGTTCAGCAATATGCTCAGACACAATTCTTTGATCAGGTAGTCACCCCTCTGCTGTCCCCTCAGGCATACCTTTCTGGTCCTTGGCCTCTCGGCCTGGCCTCTGCCCTGCTTGGACAAGTGTTACAAAGCTTTTTTAGCTTTGCTGATAGGTACATCTAGGAGCACCCTACTCTGTCAGCAAGCCTCCTGCCCAAGGGCACTCAGTTTTCTTGCTCTGTTGGCCAGGTAAGCCCACTGCTCTGTCTTGTGCTTTTTGGTTCCATTGCAACCACCTCTCTGCCAGGTGTCTCTCTCTGCTCAGGTGTCTCTCTCTGCTGGGGCGTCTCTGCCAAGAAGTCCAGTGCCAGCATCTCAGGTCCAAGGGTGCTCTCTATGCGACCTCCAGCTCTTCTCTCTTGCTGGCAGTGAGATCCCTTCTCTTTCTGTAGGAGGATCCCTGGCAGAGTGACAAAACTAACCAATCCCAACATCAGAGTTCCACACACCTTATTTGCATGGTCTGGCAGAGTGACAAAACTGACCAATCCCAACGCTAGAGTTCTGCACACCTTATGTGCATGGTCTCACCCAGTAATCTGGTGCGAGTTACAAAGACTATGACTAGAAAAGCTATACCAAGTAAATCACTGCACCACAGAGCCTAATACCTAAGGCAACCTGGTCTTCACTAAGCTGCTTACTAGCTATTATAAGACTTAAAAAGTACCCTTAAAAAACCAGTATGCTCAAGGCTCAAGATTCAAAAGATCAGGTTTAGGGCAACTTCCTGAGTGGGTCACTTCAACTCTATAGACCCTAGAAATCTGCATTCCAGAATCAAAACTGTTTCTCAATTCTAAGCAAAGAGTGTTGTTGTTGTTGTTACATACCGTCAAGTCGGATCCCACTCATAGCGACCCCTCCTTGGGTTGCCGAGGCAGTATCACTACGGAAGTAGATTGCCCCATCTTTCTTCCGAGGAGTGGCTGGCGGTTCAAACCCACCAGCCTTCTGGTTAGCAGTCAAGTGCCTTAGGAACTATGCCACCAGAGCTCCCAAGCAAAGAGTAGGAACTTTAAATGACTTGTTAA